CAGCAGGTCGAGGCTGCGGTGGCTGGGAGTGACCACTGCACTCCAGTCTGGGCAACAGAGTGAGACTCCAACTCAAAAAAAAAAGAGTATCAGTGGTAGACCGGGCGTGGTATGAGAGGATTGCCTGAGCCCCCCGGTTCAGTACCAGCCTGGGCACCTTGACGAAGTCTCATCTCTACAATAAATCATAAAAATTAGCCAGGCATGGTGGTCCTTGCCTGTAGTTCCAGCTACTTGGAAGGCTAAGACAGAAGGATCGCCTGAGCCCACCAGGTCAAGACTGGTGGCTGTGAGCAGTGTGCCCCTGCACTCCAGCCTGGGTGACAGTAAGACTTCGACTGAAAAAAAAAAAGCATTAAACATGATGAAGAGGCCGGGATCAGTGGCTCAGCCTGTAATCCTAGCGCTTTGAGAGGCCGAGGTGCGTGGATTGCCTGAGCCTGTGGGTTCGAGACCCACCTAGGTAACTTGACGAGACCTCATCTCTACAATAAATCACAAATTAGCCAGGCGTGTTACTACTGTGTGCCTGTAGTTCTAGCTACTTGAAAGGCTGAGGCGGAAGGATCGCCGGAGCCCAGCAGGTCGAGGCTGCGGTGGCCAGGAGCATGCCACTGCGCTCCAGTCTGGGCAACAGAGTGAGACTCCAAATCAAAAAAAAAAAAAAAAAAAAAAAACGTAGCCGGGCTCAGTGGCTCAGCCTGTAATCTGCGCCTGTGGGAGGCTGAGGTGAGTGGATTGCCTGAGCCCGTGGGTTCGAGACCCGCCTGGGCAATTTGGTGAGACTTCATCTCTACAATAAATCAAAAAATTAGCCGGGCGTGGTAGCATGCACCTGTAGATCCGGCTACTCAGAAGGCTGAGGCGGAAGGATCACCAGAGCCCAGCAGGTCAAGTCTGCAGTGGTCAGGAACGGCCACTGCACTCCAGTGACAGAGTGAGACTCCAACTCAAAAAAACAAAAAAACATGAGGAAGATGTGGGACACCCAATGCAGGTTTTGTTCCCATATGGTCTGGAAGAGTGGAAGGAGGAAGGGATTGCTGTCTTCACCAAATGGTCCAGTGCTGTTGCAGACAAGCAAGTGGAAATGTCCTGTCTACTACACTGGCAGCTATGGGCCTAGTGGCAATTGACTACGTGGGTTCTATAGTCAACTGGTCCTAGCTTCTACCCTGGGGACTTACTAGCTGCTATCTCATGGGCAATTGGCATCCCTACTCTGAGTTTCATTTTCTTGTGTAAAGAGGATTCTCTGTACTATTATCATAATGATGTTTATGCTCATTGCCTACCCCTTAACACACACTCTGCCAGCAACTTAGGAAGCACTCAGTGAATTCACATATTGCTGAGTGCCTATCATGTGTTACGTTTGTGGGGATAGGATATGCAATGGTGAATAAAATAGCCAAGTGTAGTGCCACAACTCCCAGAGGCTGAAGAAACAACTGGAGACGATGGATGAGATATGAGCTTTACTCATATCTAAAGGTAATCAAAGGGTAGAGGCATTGGTCTAGGTGTGTGTGATTTGATCTGAACCAGCCCGAGGGGCTGACTGCCTCCCAAAGGTTCGTGAGACCACTGCTTAGCTACAAGATGTTGGCAGGCTGGGCGCAGTGGCTCATGCTTATAATCCCAGCACTTTGGGAGGCCGAGGTGAGAAGATTGCCTGAGCCTAAGGGTTCGAAACTAGCCTGGGCAACTTGGTGAGACCTCATCTCTACAATAAATCAAAAAATTAGCTGGGTGTGGTAGCACATACCTGTAGTTCCAGCTACTTGGAAGGCTGAGGTGGAAGGATCGCCGGAGCCCAGCAAGCCGAGGCTGTGTTGGTCGTGAACATGCTACTGCACTCCAGCTTGGGCAACAGAGCGAGACTCCAACTCAAAAAAAAAAGATGTGGTTGGCAGGCATGGAGGACACCATCCGTGGCTCAGTGTGACCTTTATGGCCAGGCCAAAGCCTGAGGGGAAGAGTACATCCCAGGTTGGCCAACCCCAGGAACATTCCCTAGGCTCCAACCTCCTGCTTGTGGCCATATCCAGGGTGTGCTCATGTTGACTTAAGTGTATGTTGCCCAACAGCAAGCTAATTTCAAATGCTGTGCTCAGATGAAAATAAACAGACTGGGCACGGTGGCTCAAGCCTGTAATCCCAGCACTTTGGGAGACCGAGGCAAAAGGATTACCTGAGCCCAGGGGTTCAAGACCAGAGTGGGCAACTTGGTGAGACCTCATCTCTACAATAAATCAAAAAATAGCCAAGCGTGGTGGTGTGTGCCTGTAGTTCCAGCTACTTGGAAGGCTGTGGCAAAAGGATCACCTGTGTCCAGCAGGTTGAGGCTGCAGTAGCCATGAGTGTGCCACTGCACTCCAGCCTGGGCAACAGTGAGACTCCGACTCAAAAAAAAAAAAAAAGTCTCTACAATAAATAAAAAAATTAGCTGGGCATGGTGGCACATGTCTGGAGTTTCAGCTACTTGGAAGGCTGAGGTAGAAGGATCACCTGAGCCCAGTAGGCCGAGGCTGCGGTGGCCATGAGCATGCTGTTGTACTCCAGCCTGAGCAGAGTGAGACTCCAACCCAAGAAAAATAAAATAAAAAGAAATGAAAACTTGATGGGAGGGGTAGAACTGAGAACAGTAATGGGTAGACAAGAAAAGTCCCTCTG